CGACTGAACTTTGTGATTTAGTGTTCTTCGTAAAACGTTCTGAACGTGATTTTATTGTGTTTAGTGTAGTGTTTAGTGTTATTTAAGGAAATAAATTTATAACGTTTTAAGAAAATATTTTTGCTTCACTCTCTCTCTCTTTATGTCCTAACAAATAAATTTTTGTGACGACTCTGGCCCCCGCTGAACCTACCCCCGCTTCAAAGTGAAAACACGTCGTCACAATGGCGCCCGAGCAGGGACCTGAAAGAGAGAAAGAATAAATAAATGAGTGAACAATAATTAGACAAATACAGATGAAAACCCAGTGAAAAAAAAAAAAAACAGTTAAAAAAAAAAAAAAAAAAAAAAAAAAAAAAAAAAAAAAAAAATGTCAAACGAAAAGACAATGTTGAAGGTCTCCTGGGCCTATATGCTAAAGCAAGAAGACTTGGTAACATATCTTACTGAATTCAATCTTGATCCAGTTGGAAAAGTGGACGATCTCCGAAAAAGATGGGCTAAATTTCTCCACAACGACCATGAAGCCGATGTATACAGACGGCTTATAGAGTTGCAGAACAAACATGAAAGTACCAGTCCGACCAAATCGCCGACATTGCGAGCCGTCACAAAACAACCCCTTATAACCGTAACACCGTGTGGAGCAGAAGCAATAGTATTATCCCCAATAAAAACAGAGTACGCCCTTCCCCACATTTCCGCGGAAAGGTCACATGGAGAGTCAAGCACAGGGGTAACAAACGATCAAAAAGTACAGAAGATGTCGCCAACAAACCCCGAATATGGATTTCAAAAAGATTCTCCGCCCAAGCCATCCAATAATTCGTCGTTACTCGTAATTCTCGACCAAATCCGAAAATGGAATATTACTTTTGAAAATGGAATGGACCCTATTGGATTCGTAGAACGTGTAGAAGAAATGGCTGAAATGTACATCGTGGAATTGAATCAAATAATTAAAGTAATGCCAGAGTTGTTACGAGGTAAAGCTTTAATCTGGCTAAGGAACAACAACCGACACTGGACTACCTGGAACGAATTTAAGAGTGATTTTCTGAAATTCTTTTTGCCACCGAGATACTTTGAGAAATTGGAGGATGAAATTAGGAGAAGGATACAGCGTAATAAGGAGCCGTTTAAGGAATATGTACTCTCTATACAGCATCTTATGCAGCACACCAATATGACCGAAGAACAAAAATTGGAACGAATTTTTAGAAACGCGCATTCGGATTATCAATGGTACATTCGCCGTAAAGACTTTACCACACTTTCGGAATTGATCTCCTTGGCAGACGAACTCGAAAGCATACCAAATAATTCTCGGTCAGAACAGCCTCGAAATCAACAAAACTATAATCGACGTGCGGACAACTCTAGAAATAACCTGTATTGCACCAATCAAGGTGACCAAGTGCTAAACGAAAGCTCATCCAATCCAGAAACGCAGCAGGATGAACCCCCGGCAAAGAAGAGTAACCAGAATGTTACATCATTGCAATGTGAAGAATATCGCCTTACTGCAACTGTCTTAATAGAGGGGAAAGCTATTAAAGCAACTGTCGACACTGGTGCCACTAGCTGTTTTATAAAAAGAGAATTTGCGGAAAAAATCAAGAAAAGGTTTACTTATTCACGGCATGAGGCAAATGTTATCCTCGCAGACGGCACCACGGTGAACATCACAAGATCAACAGTGTTACCTGTTACATTTGGAAACCAAAGCTCAGATGTTACATTTCTCATCATGCCGCAATTCAAGGAAAACATCATATTGGGATTGGAATTTCTAAAACAGTTCCACACGACCATTCACTGCGCCGGTATAAGTGTCAAATTAAGTAAGCCAACCACCTCAACGGAGCATTGTACCGTGGCTATAGGAGAGGAAACCCCATCAAAAGAGGTAATAGATACAATGACAGCTACGAATAATGTATCCCCCAGACCTAAATTCTTAAACGATGAATTGAGTAAAACGCAATGTGAGATCGTTGAAAATTTTCTGGCACAGGAACTCCCTAAGTTCCAACAATTAAATGGCCTATCGTCAATAGCTGAACATAAGATTGTAATGACCGACGATCGACCCATTAAATTAAGATATGCTCCGCGAAATCCTGCAATGCAAGCCGTGATTAATGCCGAAGTGAGAAAGCTCGAAGAACGAGGATGTATAGAGCCGTCTACAAGCCCATACTGTTTCCCCATCACATTAGTCAGAAAGAAAAATGGGAATTGGAGAACTTGTATGGATTTTCGCCAATTGAATAAACGTTCTGTTCCAGATGCCTACCCTTTACCCCGCATCGACACAATACTGAATCGACTACGGGATGCCAAATACGTGAGTAGCCTGGACCTTAAAGACGGATATTGGCAAATACCTATGGCGAAGGAGAGCAGAAAATACACGGCCTTTGCGGTAGCTGGTAAAGGTCTATATCAGTGGAAAGTGATGCCTTTCGGTTTGCATTCAGCACCGGCAACCTTCCAACGGGCATTAGATAGTGTGATTGGGCCTGAAATGGACCCCCACGCTTTTGCATACCTTGACGATATCATCGTCATTGGAAAAACGTTTGAGGAACACTTGCGGAACGTGAGAGAAGTGTTCAGAAGATTGCGATCAGCTAACCTGAGAATAAACATTGAGAAATGCGAATTTTTCAGAAAAGAAACGAAGTATTTAGGCCATGTTGTGAGTAGCGAGGGAATAAAGACGGATCCAGATAAAGTTGCCGCAATAGTGGAAATGAAACCTCCAACATCGGTAAAGGAGGTACGAAGATTTCTTGGAGTAGCATCTTGGTACCGAAGATTTGTCCCACAGTTTGCAACAATTTCACAACCATTGACTAGTCTTCTTAAAAAGGGAAAACATTGGAAATGGGGTCCCGAACAACAAGAAGCATTCTCAGACCTAAAAGCAAAGTTAACTGAAGCCCCCGTTCTGGCTTGTCCGGATTTCACAAAGACGTTCATATTGCAAACTGATGCCAGCAACTATGGCCTTGGAGCAGTTCTAACACAGGAGTTAGATAACGTGGAACGTGTCATAGCCTACGCCAGCAGACATTTAAAACAGGCTGAAAAGAACTACTCAGCGACTGAAAGGGAATGTCTAGCCATACTGTGGGGCATCAGACACATGAGACCCTATTTAGAGGGTTACCAGTTTATAGTTATTACCGATCATTTGGCCCTAAAATGGTTAAATTCTATTGAAAGCCCTACAGGTCGACTCGCACGTTGGGCTCTCGAGCTACAGCAATATAATTTTTTGATCAGATACCGTAGAGGAAAACAGAACGTTGTGGCAGATGCGCTTTCGAGAACACCTTTGGAAACGTTAGACCTAGCCACAGTAAAATATGACACCAGTCCGTGCCCATGGCTAGAAAAGTTGAAGGAAACCATAACCAAGAATCCGAAGAAGTATCCAGACTATACAATCATTGAGGGAAATGTTTATCGACATTTTCCCAAGCAAATAAACGATGAAGATTGCACACCATGGAAGCTGTGTGTGCCCACCGGATCAAGGATTCAGGTCCTTAGAGAAAATCATGACAGTGTCACCGGAGGTCATTTGGGAGTGCGAAAGACTAGCAACAAGGTGGCGAACCGATATTTTTGGCCTGGTATGTTCCAGGACATCAAACGTTATGTCCAGCAGTGCGAATGTTGCCAAAAATATAAAGTCAGCCAACAGAAACCAGCAGGGGAAATGTTGATAAGAATCCCGGAGGAACCATGGGCCACTATTTGTGCGGACTTCGTAGGACCCCTACCGCGATCTAAGCACGGTAACTCAATGCTACTCGTTATTATGGATAGATTCTCAAAATGGACGGAGTTGGTTCCATTGCGGAAGGCTACGACAGAGGGATTAATAAAGGCATGCAGAGAAAGAATTATTTCTAGATATGGGGTTCCAAAAATATTGATAACCGATAACGGAACCCAATTCACTAGCAACCAATTCGAAAAATTCCTAGCAGAAATGGGTATAAAGCATCAACTTACGGCTCCTTACACCCCGCAAGAGAACCCTACTGAAAGGACAAATCGGACAGTGAAAACAATGATAGCACAAGTTTCGAAACAACATAATACATGGGACGATATGCTGCCCGAAATAATGTTAGCCATAAACACTAGTGCATCAGAATCCACTGGATATTCGCCGGCATACCTGACACAAGGAAGAGAACCGCGACTGCCCCAGGCATTATATGATCAGCTCACAACAGGAACTGGTGCTAGAATAGTCTTACCAGAAGACCGTGCCCAGGAGTTGAAAGGAATATTTAAGATAGTGCGTCGGAACTTGGCAAAAGCATCTCAAAACCAGCGGAGACAGTACAACCTTAGACGACGAGTTTGGAAACCAAAGATTGGGGAGCAAGTTCTAGTTCGTCTACATCCTCAGTCGAAGGCCGTCGAAAATTTCGCCGCCAAACTAGCGCCCAAATACGGAGGGCCGTTTGTCGTACAAAAATTCCAATCTCCAGTAATCGTTGTAGTCCGAGGAAAAGACAACATCACCCGCGTCGCGCACTTAAGTGAAATTAAGCCTTTTTATGAAGAACAAAATTAAATTGTAGACATAGAAGTAGAATGTTGATTGTAGTTCCACTTACGTTTATGTGATGCCATTTCATTATAATTTCTTATTTTATTTTTAGACATTAAATTGACAATACCCAAACTAATCAGTGTCCTAATATAAGCCCATACTTCAAAGACCATCGCAATTCTCAAAATTTCAACATCACGATGGAGCAAGATAGCCCCAACACGAAAAAATTCAAAGGGGCGAAGGAGAAATTTCGAGCTCATCTGGAACAAGTCGAGGCTCAAAGGCGAAGGACAATATTTTAGACGAAGGTCCTAGTACCAGCCGAAAGAGGAGAACAAATCAATACCGTAAGCCCAATCCAAGAAAGGGTAGCAGTCAATCCTCATCGCCCCAGCACCAAATATTTTACCGAATGTGCAGCACAACCCCGAATGACGTTCCACAGCAAAAGTGTAACACGACCGAAAACAACAGCGACGATATCGATGAAACTGACTCTTTGAACGAGGAAACCCAGCCTAGTAGTGACGTCCCGCGTACACCAACCTACGCCCCGTGTTTTGGTTCGCCAAATAGCTTTAAGCCGGCTTCCGATGTGCTCTCAACACCCACTTCAAGGTGCTCAGAAATGCCTGTTACACCGGGTAAAGAATGGTGTCGTGACTCAGATGACGCATCAACTCTTCCTCGGCCCAATATGGAGGAGTCGGGTGAATCTCAATCAAATTTCGAAATGGATGAAGAATGTCGGCGTATGTTTTACGGTTACTTAGAAACCTCAGTGACTCGGCGAGCACAGTCACCCTTATCCTCGAATAATTCCTCGCTGGATGAGTCGGATAACGAAGATCAACGTTCCTCGTCTCCGCCAAAAGGTATGGTCTGGGATTTGTCCGTCAGAAAGATAGCCAATACAATATCTCGGATTTCGCTGTTATGAGAGAACAGTTACTGTGCAGCTTTTGGTCCCCGACTCCGGGGAAAATCCAATATATGAAATAACCAACCCACCGCCGGATAATCATCGTACGCCCTCACCCACACCCGCGATAGGGGAAGAGATCAACACCGAAGATATCCATTCAATATCCAACACCTCACACAAACATGAGGAGGTTCCTACTTCATCCTCACATGCTTTCGCACATTTAGAGGAAGACTCCAGATCGACCGCAAGTAGTTTTGTGACAGTTTCCGAAGATCCTAGTTCTGAGTGGTGGACCCAATGGCAGACGCTGGTTGGTGTTCCTCCATCATCACCGCTATATAACATAACCGAACAAGCAAATCTGTTGCATAGTGATGACGTACAAATTCCATCGCAATCCAATGCTGCCGTCATATCGGACGATCACAGGTCCCCCAACGTGAAGGAAGATAAATCATTACCAGGAACGCCGGGACACGTTGTCGAACTGTCATCACCATCGATGTCTTCCCGATCGTCATCCTCATCCTCATCAGCCTCGTCGTCTTTATCGTCATCCTCATCCTCATCAGCCTCGTCGTCTTCATCATCATCCACAAGCCAAACGATGACACCTCATCAGCCAACATTGTGTAGCAGTCAACCTTCCATCGATGAAGTGTTTATACCCAGTAAGGAGAATAATAGCACACCAAGTACAATCAAATTGCCAGTCACTGAAATCCCAACTGAGTCAACGCCATCGTCCTCGACAGACAATCCCGTGAACGATAACACATTTCTCGAACTGCCAAATTATCCCGAAAACCTACAAATCCGTATCGAGAAGTTTAAAAACAATTGGAAAAAGGGACACAAACTGAAGCGAATTGTTAAACAAGATGGCAAGCAGTACCGCATAATAATATCAGCAGACGGGGTAGTGAAGGTATCTCTCCGAACTTCTGCAATTGGTCTCTAACATACCTTCCTATTCGACCGAGATATAGTCGAACCAAAGTGCCCATGTCGGAGAAATAAAAGGTTACATAACACCCTAGGGCTTCCTGGCTATTGAAACCCAATAGCAATAGAGAAAGCAAATCAAGGAATCAAAAATCAGAGGGAGGAAGAGATGCCATGTAACGCCCAAAAGTCATGCTTTCGTTTTTGGGGTACATTATTATTTTAAATACCATTTTTACTTACGTATGTTATATACATCAACTATGAATTATATGTTTTGTTTGAAAATGAATTAAAATATTTAAGTTATGAATTAAACTAACAGCTACTCAGGGTCATGTAATTTAAATGTATTTGAATATTAACGGTCACACAGGTCCCCTAGTAGAAAGAAGTATACTTAAAATACAACATTGGAACCCCTGGTGGCAAATGGCGGAACTACGCAAAACTGTCAGATTGGGATCAGCTGCTGTCATGAGAAAACAACAATCGTTGTCCAGCCAAAAAGGTATAAAAGGAGACGCATTTCACACAATCGAGATCAGTCTTCTGTTGATGGCTGGTAAGTCAAGTGTGATTGGGAGGAAGAAAAGGCGCGCAACCTCGGTTGAATTGAGTCTTAGTAAGCCAAACAATAAGCCTTGACTATTTGTGGTGACTGGACTGGACTGAACGCAGGGTCAAGTGAGGGTTGTAGCAATACTCCCTATTCTTCGGGCTGCGTTGACGGCGACTGAACGCAGGGTCAAGTGAGGGTTGTAGCAATACTCCCTATTCTTCGGGCTGCGTTGACGGCGACTGAACGCAGGGTCAAGTGAGGGTTGTAGCAATACTCCCTATTCTTCGGGCTGCGTTGACGGCGACTGAACGCAGGGTCGAGTGAGGGCTGTAGCAATACTCCCTATTCTTCGGGCTGCGTTGACGGCGACTGACGTACTCATCGGGCTGCTGCTGTGCCAAAGCTGCCGCCACCCGATTCGTCGTGCGCGTATTCATCAGGCCGCCGCTGTGCCAAGCTGCCGCCACTACTACTCGCCGCTGACGTATTCATCGGGCCGCCGCTGTGCCAAAGCCGCCGCCACCCTATTCGCCGCTCGCCTATTCATCGGGCCGCCGCTGTGCCAAGCTGCCGCCACTACTATTCGTCGCTCGCCTATTCATCGGGCCGCCGCTGTGCCAAGCTGCCGCCACTCTATTCGTCGCTCGCCTATTCATCGGGCCGCCGCTGTGCCAAGCTGCCACCACTGCTACCCGTTTATTAACATTTCGACTGAACTTTGTGATTTAGTGTTCTTCGTAAAACGTTCTGAACGTGATTTTATTGTGTTTAGTGTAGTGTTTAGTGTTATTTAAGGAAATAAATTTATAACGTTTTAAGAAAATATTTTTGCTTCACTCTCTCTCTCTTTATGTCCTAACAAATAAATTTTTGTGACGACTCTGGCCCCCGCTGAACCTACCCCCGCTTCAAAGTGAAAACACGTCGTCACATTACATTGCCGATTTGAATTTAAGTTATACCAAATAACAACCATCTGTGTTTGCAAAAACTGAATTTCGTCGGAAGTGTCAAAATTCACTCAATTTGCTCGTATTAATCGACCGTGGCATCAGAATATATGCCGAATTATCGCGAAAATATTCTGGATATAAAGCCATGTGCAGGCAAACATTTTGGGCGTAGACCGTGGACTTTCAAACAGGACTCAGCACCATCGCACTCAGCACGCGCCACCCAAGAATGGTTACAAAATGAGGTTCCTCGCTTCATTTCCAGCGCACAATGGCCACCAAAATCTCCGGATGCCAATCCGTTGAAATATTTATTGTGTCTGGAGTATTTTGGAAAGCAAGGTTGGCACTAAAAAATACCAAAGTGTCGATCACCTCAAGCAAGCGCTTCGCTGGGAATGGGCCAAAATACCGCAGAGCAATATTATATCTAGAAACCTGTATATTGCGTTTATTAAGCACATAAATATTTCAAAGCATTCTTGATATTGCACAAATATTTGGTATTTAAATCTGGCGACCTCTATGCAAATAATTGTCTATAATAAACTAATTAATGTGTTTTTTATTCGGGAAATCATAATTCAATCTAATCGACTGTTCTTTTTTATCTCGAAACTAATTTTTTGTGATGTGACATCTTTTCAATTAATAGGTGATATGATAAGAAAAACAATGGGTTAAGGACTTTAGAATAACAAGTTCTCCTCTAAATGGGAAAATATGTGAACCATAACTAACAGACGATTATATGTAATTTGTATCATCAGAATTGTCTTCTAAATCTCGTCTATACCGATAAACTGATATACATATGTATATTGTTGCAAAAAGTTTTCAAATGAAGAGTAAATTGACAATTTACAAATAATAATTTAACTATCCAACTGTTGTGGATTTAACATGAAAAGTTAGTCCTTCAAACGTTTTGAACTATTACCCAAAATTTGTTCCACTTTGTAACAAATTAGATTTGATTCCAACTCCGTTTCCAATTTGCAACGTGAAAAAACTAGTTTTATTTTCTGTCATGGTTCACACATAGATATATATACAAAATTTTTGCCTTCCGAAAATCCGATTGAATACAAAGTTACATATATCTGCAGTTTGTTTTTGTAGGTTTTTCTTTGTTAGACTACGACGAGGACATGTGTGACGAATTAAATGTGACGTTTTCAGCATGGTAGCATTAGCAACAGAGTCATGTGGCTGTTAAAGGTTTTCATTCGACTACATTTTGGTTTTTCGTTTTACTGTTTCTGTTGTTTTAACTGTAGAGTAAGAACAATTTTTCCAACCCCAAAACTAACTACATCGTGGCAATTGAACACAATTGAATAAGAAGCTGCAGAAACTGCAAATAACAACCTGTTTCTTGAAGTATAAAATAAGTTTATGTAGAGTGGACAACTTAAAAAACTAGGCCAGAAAAATTGCCTAGTAGACTTTAAAAATAAATTATACGAAATAAATAGGTGGGTGACAAACAATTATTGCATAATATGAAGTAAATTCAGTTTTCTTATTCCAGAATTTTTTCATCTTCTTTACATCTAACTATAAAAATTACATTTTTGCAATCGTTATTTAATTTCGATTACTTATAAATTAATTAAACATATTTACATTAAATTTAAAAATAATAGATTTCTCACAAAATTAGACGACTGAGTGGATTTATTTCGATTGCTTTATTTACGTAATATTATATAACAAGTAAAAAAACATTAAGTTCGGCCGGGCCGAACTTCCAATACCCTCCACCTTAGGTTCTTCTAATATACCAAAATTGAAACAAATGTGGGTAAATGTGACCCCATTATAAACTGCAAATTCAAATTTTTATCAAAATAGTGAATATTGAGAGGTACCTTTATATGGGCCTATACAACAACGCAATTTTTCGCCACCGGAGCTAGAACTCATTATGACCCACCCGTTATATGGGGGCTATACGAAAACGTGGACCCATACATACAATCTTTCGCCATCAGAGCTAGAACCCACCATTTCCCTACAAATATCAATTTTAAGACATATTCGTGGGAAAATGTGGCAAAAGTCATCAAAGTATCGAATATCTGGAGGTACCGTTATACGGGAGCTATACCAAAACGTGAACCTATACATAGAATGTTTCGTCACCACAGCCAGAACCCATTATGACCAAAAAATACCAATTTCTTAGCCACACGAACTAGGACCCATTATGACCTACAAATACCAATTTTCAGACAAATCTGTGAAAATTGTGGCAAAATATATATCTAATTTTCAATGCCAACCATCCTAGACACAATATACAATATACATTTGCAAAATTTAGACGCTCTACATTCATCCCAATGTTCGACATTTTGATAATTTTAGCCACATTTATCGATGGAAATATTTCAAGTTTAATATTTGAAACTCGGAAAGCGGTTTCGTCCACTATATGATGATACATGTTTCGCTGGCCTTTATAATTTAAAATATAACTTGCTGGAATTTTCAATTCAGATAACTGTACTTGGTGGGTCTTTAAAAGTTTGGTTCAGCTGAATCCATCTTGATTGTGTTTAAAAGTATATACACATTTTAATAAATTTGTCGAGATTATAGATATTTAAAAGTTATACCAATTTCTTATCCGATAGTCTTCGTAAAAGTCTTTAAAATACCAAAAAGTGGGCGGTACTGCGATATGGAAGCTATACAAATACGTGAACGTATTGTGTGTTTCGAGTACCATATTTTTAGTGTGACTAAAAACTCTGAAATACTGAATAAATGGAGGTAATTTCGGGAAATCGGGCCATAGAAAATCGTGAACCTACATAAACAATGTTCTTCAACCATTAGTAGATACCATTACGGACTCTAAATGCCTAATTTGAAACATGAAAAAATGTGGCTCAAATCGTCAAAATATTTTTTCCTTTGACACTTTCCCCAAAAAATAATATATAAGATTTAGACTCAGATCAGAATCGTATAAAATCGACAGTATAAAACTTAAACATACTTCAAATTATTGAAAGTGGAAACTTTTAATATACAAATTTTGAACATAATTTTCTTAAAAACTCTACTCCGATGATGACGAATTTCTGCAGAATAGCATTGCGTTTGTTTATTTTGTTTTGTTATTCTGCTTTGTGTGGTATTTTATAACCCCCTACATTCGAAAGCTGTCTCCATTAAAAGACCAAATGAAATGGCATCCATTGTTAAATGCACAATTTATATTTGAAAAAAGTTTAAGTGATCACAAACACTCTCTATTTTGTTCTCTATTTATGTTTATACAGTTTTTGCAACAAATGCTCCCCTAAATTCACACACATTTCAACAAAAGAATATGCCGAACATAGACTTGGCAGGACATGTAAACATTAATGCAACACATAGCTACTTACAAAAGTCTTCCTTTGTTTGGTTTGGTAGCCGCCCATGTTGCTATCGCTTTTTTCACCGTTAAGTTCAAGAATAAAGGAACTGTTGTTTAGAAGTCTGTACAAACAAAAAAAAAACTAACATTCCACACGAACACAGCTTCTGCTACTATGGACGATGACAGCATCGATGATAATTGACTAGGCCAGCTAAGGGTAATGTCTTAGAATTAAAAGTGAAGTTAGGTGATGGTATCAAGTGGTTTCGTTTCACTTGTTAAATTCCATGAAAGAAATTCCATGTTCGGTAATTTCCAATTCTGCAGTTTGAAGAATTAACGTGGAATATACAATTTTAATATTAATCCTAGTAATAATATTAAACCTTGGTCTCTTCGGTTGAAATCCGTTTCAGGACAATAGGAGTCAATTTTAATGTTTCTGTTCACTTGCCTGTCTAACAAACATTGAACTTATTAATATTTGTACCAGTCTAGGTTAGATGAGATATATTCTTTCCTTCTTCAAGAGGGTCAAGTTTTATTTTTTCACCTTATTTAAACATTATTTATTTCTACAAAAAAAGGGAGCCCGTTCAACAGATTGAGAGGGTTTATTTTCAAAATCAAAACTATTATGATTTTTAACAATTCAAAAATATTCACATATATATTCTCAATTTTATAAATTTTACACATACTATATAAATTTTACACATACACTCTCAGATACTGTCATTATTATTTAATATTGTTTCGCCAGGTCTTCCAATACAATACCACCTACAATATTCCAATTCTTTTAATGTCATTTAATCAAATTTATAAAGAAACAAGTAAGCAAAGGCTACAGGCGAGCGGGCCGACCGTTGAATACCCTACAACACTATAATAAACGATACAGTTTATATAGGCGAGATACTCGAAAGAATTCCACAAGATATTGTGACAAACAATAAAAGAAAACCATCAGGTTTCGTTCTCTAATATTCGAATAATAGCAATTTGAACTAATTTCCTCATTTCCAATTTATTGGTAAATGTTACACTTAAATGGTCTTCCTAGATCTGGAACCAATATTTCCCAAAGACCTATAATCTCTCAGAAGTGGCAAAAGATTAACATTTATTATTGGTTTTTGACTGAAACGCATCTATATGAGATACAGACATTTGACTATATTCTTCAACGAAATCAGCGTTAACGAAATAGTCAGAAGTGCGTCTTTCCTGTATTTGTGAATTCTCCAAAAAGTCACTGGAATGAACATTTTCGTATTTTGTCTACAAAAGTTGGCAAACTATTCACACATTGAATATTTTTGGATGGCCATCCAAAACTGCTTGGCTTTTGCAATGTCCGGTAACCCCCATTCAAATGTGCATGAGGATCGGGCAATAATTACGACTTGCTGACAATTTTGCACTTTTTTGTCCATTTCAACCCCTAAATATATGGCGATCATCTCCAAAAAGAGTAGGCTTCTATTCTGACCCTCATCTTATCCCCATGCAAAATTTCGTATGGATCGTTCCATAAATGCGATCTGTATAAGATATCCTGATATCCTAACTACTTAGTTTTGTT